AACGTCGCCGACAACGCCCTCTTCCACTACGATGTGAGCTGCCTCCGGAACCCCATCCCGCTCCCTACCTACACTATCTGTTCACGTAGTAGCTATTTCTGGTTTAGATCTGGCGTGCCATGCATGTTCTCGGTATACCCTTGTGATCGTGTTGTTTTTCCACGCTATCTGATTCGTTAATTTTCCCCTGTGACTTGTGTCCGACGACCTCATCGAGTAGTTTATGTGGGTGTTTTGGTCTAGCGCTCTTGCTACAGGATGGGAGCTTCGTCTAGTTTAGTTCTGACGTTTTCAGCATGTTTTTCCGTTGTACCACGGGATAGATCTACCACGGGATAAGCTTGTACTGACCCATCCATGGGTGATTTGGTCGAGCTAGCGCTCTCGCTACACTTAATCGGCCCTTGTATTTTTCGCTTGGCGTTTTCGAAGATGCACGGATGGATGGTTTTCTTCTGTTCTCGTGCATGAACAGTGGGAATTTTTGGAGAGCGAGAGAGAGAGAGCTAATTGCCTCCGTGCAAAGCCAGCCCGCAGACAGTAGCTAGAGCGTCTTGTTTTCGGCTCTGTTGTTCTTGTCTTGTCTTGGAAACTAGCAGTAGAAGTACTAGTCATTTTTTGGGCAACTTTGCGGTCTTGGGTGCAGATTCTTGGGATCCGTTTTGGCTTGCTATAGACGGGAGGTCGTCGTGGGATCCCATCCCATCCTCCCCGTCCCATACAAAGCCACCCACCTTTTTCTTTTTTCGATTCGATCTCACCTTTTTCTTTTTTCGATTCGATCTCCTGTGTCCTTTTCTGGCCTTCTTGCATGGTTCTGATCTGTTAGTATCCATGGGAGGTAATAGCACCCCAGGTACCCTAACTTGCACACAATGTGATGATTTAGTCCCAAACTTGCAAAACTTGACTCCACCATACCCCAACTTGCACCTCATGTGATGATTTAGTCCCAGGCCAATCACAGCTCGACAATTGGCAGCCACGTGGCTGGACCGGTCAGCGCATGCACTTTTACACAAAGCCCCCTGTTGTTTTATGTAATTAACCAGCCATTGACAACAATACTACAGTTTGATTTGCAAGCTTTCTATTTTATCATGTAGATACTTCACTTTTTCAGATAGGGTATCTGTACTTGGCGTTGCTGCTGCAGTTGTTTGTTTCAGCATCTAAATTTGTATGCTTAAATTTGATGAGTTGGTATGCTGCTTTAATCATGATCTCGCTGACTTTCCCCTGTCCTGTTATTTGTTGATGTCTTTTCACAGCAGCTCCCATTTTGGAGATACCGATGATTTTGATCCTTTTGGAGATAACTATGACAATGACAGAACAGAGAATCATGCGCTAGAAAATGCTACTAAACTGAATTACCATTCGTATATGGACAAATGGAGAAAATTTGACACTGACTGAATTACCATTCGTATATGGGCAAAAAAACAAGAGCCAAATGGAGAAAATTTGACACTGACTTATTTTACCAGGTATTTGAAATCAACTACTCACTACTATTTTGATGTTGAATCTACCTCTTTTTGTGCTGATGTTTTCTCCTGCAGTCTTAGCAGACCTGTAGAATCAGAAACATTCTCATGTGTGCAAGGATGGCTGCTATATGTTAGTTTTACAGAGAGTTGATGTAAATATGAGAATTCATTCAGGTTTTTTCTTAAAGCACCACATTATTTGTTGATCACACTCAAGCAGTTCACTGTTTATCACACTCGAGTACTCAGACAGGCATGCATAGTTTCTTCCCGAACATCAACTGTTTGCATATACTTGGGACTGGGAAGACAGTGTATGTCTAGTGAAGCATCATGTATCCATTTTTTCTTTTCTTTTGGTAACTAAAATTTCATGACTGGTCTCACCAGGATAACATGTGAATGTCAATGGCCATCAAACAGTAGGCTGATAATACCCCTCAGCGTTAGTAGAATTACATCTACTATTACCTGTTGATAGATTATTTATGCTGCAACAATCACTTGTAACTGTACCACTGTTATTGGTGTAGAACAGTCAGTAGTGAAGGTAAGTGGCAACAAGCAGAAACTATTGCCCCCCATATCTACACCACCTCATCATTCAACACAGAAGGATCCAAAGGAAGATTTCATCTTTGAACACAGAAGGATCTAAAGTATGATTTCACCATTCAACACAGAAGGATCCAAACTATTGCACACTTTTTTTTGCTGTTCTGTACTTGCACACATCACAAGTTATGATTCGGAGAAGAGTAAAATCAACTAGCAAGGGAGATGAAATTTGCCTACACTACACACTCACATCAATGTATATCACCTGTTATATTCATGATCATGTTGCTTGTAAACTTACTGATCCCTTCGACTTCAGTGAAACAGGCAGTTTGCATAATTCCACGAAGTTCGCCGTCTTCTCATTTGAATAGAGTAGCTACATGTATGATCAATGGGCAGGGGCACATGATAGTCCATCAGCGCGGGACTTGAAGGCCTAGAGGACGAGCGAGAACCCCGGCGCGGCGGTGGCGACCTCCTCCTCCTCTAGCCACAGCCGGCTCTCCAGCGCGCTGCGCGCCCGGAGCATGACCACGGCGCTGCCGTACGGAGGCTCCCGGAACCACCAGCCGTGCAGGTCCCACATGACGTCCACCGGCGCTCTGTCCACGAACACGGTCTGGTTCCCGTCGACGCTTGCCCACAACTCTTCTTCTTTCGCGCTGCCGCCGACGTCGCCGCTGGAGCACCCTACGCCTACCTGGAAGCAGCGCGGGATAGCTCGACGAGACGCGAGCAACACCATGGCAGGAGCCCTCCACAGCAGCCGTGGGCAACTGCGACGCATGCTCTGTGGAGCAGACATTGCCAGCGCCACGAGCTGACAGATCTGAAGGCTGGGGAGCCGCACCAACTCTGGGCTCTTGTGCGATGGGAGGAGGCGGTTGCTGCGTCAGTTCCTCGACAACGTCTCCGCTGCGGCTGGAGACGGGTGGAGGCGACTGCAGGGTCGGTTCATCACCCACCACGACAACAGGCTGAAGCAAAGCATCTCCGGAGACAAGGCCCGCCGGCGGCGACGGCGCGGCGAACTCCCCATCCTCTACCTCAACGCCAGGCAAGGGGATCTGGCCCGTCGGAGGCGGCAGATGCAGCGGGAGGCGGGGGCCAGATCTGCCATGGCTGGGAGTAGGGATGGGAGGCCCGAGGGGCTAGTTGCCGGGGGCTTCAGATGCTGAACGGAGCCAGCGCCGGCAGGGGGAGCCGGGGCGGCGAGCAGCGGGTCGGCCGCCGTCGCAGCCATGGGGGTGTGCGCGCGTCGACGACCCCCATTCTCCACTCTGAACCTGCAAGCGGGGGGCTGCGGTGGTGAGCGACGAGGGACGCGCGGTGGTGAGCGACGAGGGACGCGCGGTGCCGAGAGGGGGGCCGACGGGGCCGGGGCGGCCGCCGCCGGTGGGGGCTGGTGGGGTGGGGGAGCGGGGTCACGGGAGGTAGCCGTTGTCATGTGGATGTCACGGCAAATTCAGGTGGAGGTGAGTGCGGGTTGATTAAAGGAAACGACAGGGGGTTTTGTGTAAAAGTGTGTGCGCTGACCGGTCCAGCCACGTGGCTGCCAATTGTCGAGCTGTGATTGGCCTGGGACTAAATCATCACATGAGGTGCAAGTTGGGGTATGATGGAGTCAAGTTTTGCAAGTTTGGGACTAAATCATCACATTCTGTACAAGTTAGGGTACCTGGGGTGCTATTACCTCATCCATGGGGTTCTTCCCTTGGTCTTGGTCTTCTGGTTCCCGTCTGGTCCGTTTGGCGACAAAATGCAAAGCAGCGTACCACCAACACATCCGTCCGTTGGGACACGGCAGATGCATCGGTCTTTCCGTGCTGTTTGTAGTAGTGCCATACATTTTTTGGCAAAGTAGGAGTCCTGTTCGTGTTCCCTGGTGTACTTCTCTTCGTGATTCCTTTGCCTCTGCCCTGCCTGCGTGCGGTCCCGCGGCAGGCCATGCAGCTTTTGAGTTTTGTCTTTGGTTCACGGCATGCAACGCCGAGGCCGTGCTGCTCCGCTCCTCGGATCTCCTGTACCGCCACTTCGGGTGCTACTCCGTGTGCCACCCCGGCACGTGGCCCTCCGTGTTTGCATCTAGTAGGTCGTGGTCAACTTTCTTTTTTCGGGACACTCTTTTTTTAACTCTCTCGGTCCAGCCTTGGACGTTTGCTCTTTGTGTGTGTGCGGGTGGAACAACAGTGGTAGATCTCTTCTTCAGGTGAATGGTCGACGCGTACGTTGATTTATTCCCATACTTCGAAAATATACCCGAAAATTTCGACGTGGGATTTAATATTATTGTTTTCCAACTTTTTACAGTGAGCTCTAAAATTGTGATGTGGGGTTTAATATTTTTATTGTTTTCCAACTTTTACGGTGAGCTCTAATTTGCTTAAAATCTTGTTCTCTGCTCACACATGTATGAATGTAGTACCTCCTTTATTGCCAAACTATTTTATATTCCTCTAGTACATTTATAAATGGTAAATTGACGACCATTTTTTTTTGGTACTCCTCGTAACAAGTAGTCCATAGTTCCTTTTTTAAAGTACGTATATATACATACAGGTCCTTTATTTTAATATATACACGTAGTACGCAGGTCCTTTATTTTACTATACACACAGTACGCAGGTCCGCTTATTGTATTCTGTACCGCATGATTGCAACAAGATGCGTGCCCGTCGCACATGCCGTCACAGCCTCCCACTCAACCCCTCCTCGCCCAGCGCCGCCACCCCTTCTCCGCCTCCGCCGCTGCCCGCCGGCCTGCTCACCCGCGGCCCTTAGTCAGGAACCCTAGTATGGCCGTGCCCAAAAATTTACTTTACTGTGCCCTCCTTGAGTTTTGGGTGTTCGATTTGGGATCTAGACTTCTTCCCCGCTTGATTGACTCCAATAGTTCGAGTGGATTTTCTTCTGGGCTCTGTAAGTCGAAATGGAGGCCGCCACCACATGGTATGTGTTGCCGTTTGCTTGCCACATTTCCAGTCCTGCGATGCCACTAGCAGCTAGATCTCCTTTATTGCCTAATTTTGGTTTACTGTTTTCTCAAGATCCGGTAGTTTTCCCTCACGGATTGACTGGATTCTGTGGTGTGTTAATTCAACCTGCACGATTCGACTCTTTTGAATCAAATGTAGCATAGATTTGATTTGTGCAAGATGACTGGGCAAATCAGAGGGCTAATTGTCTCTATTCTGTGTACTGAATGTAGAACAGAGCGTCTCCTGTTTTTGGATACATATTGGATTAATGATGTTGAAATGTGCTGCTGTAGGTTTCCATCAACCCGGAGTCAAAATCAAGGGCTGTGAACAGGGAGGTACTCAGTGAGCTAATCAAGTTGCACGGCAAGACATCCCTTGGGGGCAAATTGCCTGCATATGATGGAAGAAAGAGTCTCTACACTGCAGGCTCACTCCCTTTTGAGTCTGAGGAGTTTTCTGTTACACTGGTTGATCCGGAAAAGAAAGACAAAGAAAAGTATGATTGGATTCTTTACCTTCAATCTTGTCCAACTTTCTTATCCATTGTGTTTGTAGCTACTAACTTGTTCCATCTTCATTTGCAGGGCTGAAAGGGAGTACAAGATCACCATTAGGATTGCTGGGAGGACAGACCTGTACCAGCTCCAGCAGTTTCTCAAAGGAAGACAGAAGGATATGCCTCAAGAAACCATCCAAGTTCTTGATGTTGTCCTCAGGGAGTCACCATCCTGGAAGTATGACATCCACTTTCCAGCAGTTTCTTGCTATCAGTTTTTCTTCATCATACTAGCTAGTTCACTAGAGCCCTAACACTATTGCTGGCAATTCCTTTTCATTGCAGCTATGTCACAGTGTCCAGATCCTTCTTCTCCACCACCTTTGGTCACAGAGGAGACATTGGTGAAGGATTAGAGTGCTGGAGAGGTTACTACCAGAGCTTACGCCCAACCCAGATGGGGCTGTCACTCAATATAGGTACTCCTCTCCCCTCCCCTGTCTGTTACTATTACTGTTTTCTGATTGCAGTGTGTCCTAGCCTTGTTTATCTGATGATCTGCACTTCATTTTCCAGACATATCTGCAACATCCTTCTTCAAGCCTGTGACAGTGGTCCAGTTTGTGCTAGAGTTCCTCAACTTACGTGATGCCTCGTGGCCTCTGACGGACAGGGACCGTGTTAAGGTACTATTCATCCATGCTAAGCTAGTTTTAGAACTCATGTTATGTAGATTGCGCCATGTTATTGGCTTGAAATAGTTGACTAATCTGTTCCTATGCACTATATATGCAGATAAAGAAAGCACTCCGTGGGGTGCGTGTCGAAACAAACCACCAGGAAGACCAAATCAGAAGATACAAGATAACCGGGATTACCCCTGTTCCCATGAGCCAGCTCATGTAAATAACTTCCCTCTAATGCTATAATATTTTCCATTATGTCTTTCATCTCTATGTTCTGGTGCAACTAATCAGGGTTGCTGGAATATTAGAAAGACGCGTAGTCGTGTAGATTTTTGTCTTATTGCTTCTTCATTGATGTTGGTGTGTCAGGAACTGTTAGGAGAATAATTTTGTTTACAACATTCTTCCTGTGGCATATGCATTTGATTTCTACAGCATAGCAAAGATCTGTATGTGCCAAATTGTTTCCTGTTCACAATTTCCCTTATGAACGTTTAGACCACAGTTTCCTTTTTAGCATCTATCCATGATTATCATTCCCTTTCTAATAGCACTCTACACGTGTCCATCATTATCATTCCCTTTCTAATAGCACTCTACCCGTGTTGTTTTGTTTGTTGTTAGATTTCCTGTTGATGAGAGAGGAGCAAGAATGTCAGTTGTTCAGTACTTCATGCAAAGGTACAACTACAATCTGCAGTATACTTCTTGGCCCTGCTTGCAGTTTGGAAGTGATGCCCGGCCTGTGTATCTGCCCATGGAGGTATTGTATCCATGCCTTCTTCGTCATATTCGAATTATACATTGTTTTCTCATGGTTCTCTGCAAATTGATTGTAGGCGTGCAAGATTGTTGAAGGGCAAAGGTACTCTAAGAAACTGAATGACAAGCAGGTCACCAACATACTTAGAGCTACCTGTCAACGTCCCCAGCAGAGGGAGCAAAGCATTCGTGAGGTATTTACCTATCTTCTCACATGTGGTAGATCATTCCAATCTGCTGGAACTCATGTAGTTAGGAATGTCCTTTTCAACGCATATATGTCATGTTTGCCTGTAATGTGCAGTCTTTCTCATAACACTCTTTTTCACACTGTAGATGGTTCTGCACAACAAGTATGCTGAGGACAAGTTTGCTCAGGAGTTCGGTATCAACGTCTGCAGTGACCTGGTCTCTGTTCCAGCCCGTGTGCTGCCTCCCCCCATGGTAAGGATGCTGCACTTTTTCCCCTTTCTCTGAGTTACTTAACTGGAAGGATTTGTAGTAATCACATCCTTCGTATGTGTTTCAGTTGAGATATCATGATTCTGGAAAGGAGAAAACTTGTGTGCCAAGTGTTGGACAGTGGAACATGATTAACAAGGTATTTCCCTGTTCAGTGTCTTCACTCCCAATTTTACTAAGCATTACTTTTTCTTGGAACTAAATACATGGAGAACTTGTTGAGTTTCTTCTTTGTTTGGTCTAAATGTATTGGGCAGGTCATTATTTTCTATGTAGCAACTGAAATTATTTTGCTTGATTGCATTTTATTGATTATGTAGTTAACTAGTTACTTAAATTGAGAAACAATTGAGCTTATTTTGTATGTAGTATATCGATGATGGTACAAATGATAGGTCTCATTTGAGTTTTCTTATTGCAGAAAATGATCAATGGAGGAATCATAGAGAACTGGGCCTGTGTGAGTTTTTCACGCATGCGTCCTGAGGAGGTACACAGGTTCTGTTGTGATCTGATTCAGATGTGCAATATGACTGGAATGGTAAAGGCTTTTGCATTGCTTTCCTGTTTCTCAGGCATTTATGGTTTATGTGTGTGTTACAGCTCACTGACTTGTATTTTCCAACCCTGTAGTCTGTCAATCCAAGGCCACTTGTAGACAACCGATCAGCTAGCCCCAACCACATTGAGAATGCTTTGAGAGATGTCTACAGGAGGACAACGGAAATGCTTTCCAAGCAGGGACACGAAAAACAGCTACAACTGTTAATCGTAATCCTACCTGAAGTCAGTGGTTCTTATGGTATGCATATGGCTCCTCTGGTCAATCCCCTTACACCTTCTCTTGGATTTCTGTAGATTTCTGTATGTGCCATGTTTAATTTTGCAGGGAAAATCAAGAAGGTTTGCGAGACTGACCTTGGGATCGTGTCTCAGTGTTGCCTGCCAAGGCATGCTGCCAGACCGAACAAGCAATATATGGAGAATGTTGCACTCAAAATCAATGTGAAGGTAACATAACTACCTGGTCTATGTTTTACATTCAGTTTCCATGGAATGTTGATTCGTTGTCTACTTCGGTTTCTGTTGAATGTGATAATTCTGTGTCTTATCTAGGTCGGAGGACGCAACACAGTTCTGGAGAGAGCTTTTGTGCGAAATGGCATACCGTTTGTGTCCGAAGTCCCAACAATCATCTTTGGTGCTGATGTTACACCCCCCCACCTGGAGAGGACTCTGCATCATCTATTGCTGCGGTTAGTTCTTCCCCATAGCTAACAGTTTGTCAATTCGTTATATCTGATTTTATCCTTCAAATGGAATTATCATCTTCATGCACATACCTGTTGAGTACAAATAGGCTTATCCATTTCTTTTATTGGATTGATGTAGGTGGTGACATCAATGGACTGGCCAGAGATCACCAAGTACAGAGGTCTTGTCTCTGCTCAACCACACAGGCAGGAGATAATCGAAGACCTCTTCAGTGTCAGCAAAGATCCGCAGAGGGGTAATGTCAATGGTGGCATGATCAGGTCAGTTTTGTGATTAGTCAGAGACGATTGCTAGCAATTGCCCTGTGGATCAACTGCTAATCTGACATAATTTTCTCCACAGGGAGTTACTGATTGCCTTCCGCAGGAAGACAGGCCGGAGGCCTGAGAGGATACTCTTCTACAGGTGTGTGCACAAATTCAGGACACTCTTTTCATCCTGTCCATTCAATGGAACTGCCTGACCGATCATTCTCATGTACAGGGATGGTGTAAGTGAAGGCCAATTCAGCCATGTTCTGCTTCATGAAATGGACGCAATCAGGAAGGTAAGCCTGCAGCATATGATTACGTGCAAATTTCCGTTTTGTCTACCTCTTCTGATGTGTTATCCTTGGCTTCTCTCATTCTGATGGTTCTTAATTTTGCTGTTGCAAGGCCTGTGCCTCATTGGAGGAGGGGTACATGCCCCCAGTCACCTTTGTGGTTGTCCAGAAAAGGCATCACACCAGGCTGTTCCCTGAGGTCCATGGGAGGCGTGATATGACTGACAAGAGTGGGAACATACTTCCAGGTTAGCAAATACACTGGTATTTCAATGTCACTGATTACAACTATCTGCTACTACTTGTTGAAGCATCGCTGACTGTGATTGGGTGCGTTTCTGTTTCTGCTGTCCTGCAGGAACTATGGTTGACCTCATGATTAGCCACCCTACAGAGTTTGATTTCTACTTGTGCAGCCATGCTGGCATTCAGGTAGACACTTTGTCCACATGTCCATTTGTTCCTATGCAGCCTATCTTCAGTGCTTGCATACTGAGTTGAGTGTGTTTGCAAAATGCTCCTCAGGGAACTAGCAGGCCAACACACTACCATGTTCTGTATGATGAGAATCACTTCACAGCCGATGCGCTTCAGTCACTGACCAACAATCTCTGCTACACGTAATCCTCCCTCCCTCTCTCTCTCCCTCTCTCTCTCTCTC